TAGGAAGAAGATGCCGTTCACAAAAACTTATGGTGCAAAGGCGAACAGTTCAAATTGCGCGGTCCTCTCATTATGGAGACCACCTCGTGCCTCCATGGGCATTCCATGAACATGGAGAACAACATGAAAGAGGAACTAGACAGAAGAAAAGCAGCATGCGCCGCACTCTGACTCCTCAAAAGAGCCACTGACCAGTGAAAGCACTTTAAAATACGCACTCACCTTTTCGTCTAACAGTCGTTACCTTTTATACATCAGAGACGTAGACTAATACTTCAACTATGTTAAGAAATCTGCGCACCACTCATAGAGTGCTTGAACGATTTCTTCTGAAATACAACCGGCAAACACAACATGTAGCCGAACGGCGAAGCTGGAATCTTTGAACTTTGTTACATCTTCAAGAATCAGACATCATACACCGATGTAAAGATATAAGCACCCCTGTCATAAAATAAGAAAAATAGACGACGGATGGGCGAAAAGAACAATAGCGTTGACACGAGTACAAAAGTGTTCCATTGAACAACCATCTACATCATTTATGGATGTGTTCATAACTAGAATGAATCAGCTTTATCCAGAGCAGCAAATCTTACAGATCACGACATGAGACTTGCGGACACCATCATGCTCGAATCAGGCGTCGGCACCATTGGTGGAAACAGGCCGCTCAACTATCCCACGTAAAGCCATGGTCACCCATAAATCAGCAACTAATTTTTGTTGTCTGGAAAGTTCAACGATGGATGATAACTGTAAGACCTGCTTTCACGACAATCTCATGTACCTTAACTCAGTTGTTAATATCTAAGCCATTTCCCGTCTCAATTATTCGGTGTTTTCTTAGGAGTGCTGGCCTTTCATACTCTTATGTGATTTCTCTTAGGGATTCTATATTCCACTGTTTTAGTAGAACTCCAAAGATTTCGTTAATCATAACAAAGGTACCATTGTCACAGCGAATCTTAACATCCTCGCGACGACATCCAATCTCGGGTTTGTTGCATACTAGACAGCACCTAGTTTTCAATTTTTTTTAAAGACATACTGGTTTTTGAGAATGAACAATAACTCTTCGATAACTAGAGGACTTCGTGGGTTGGGTGCATAAACAGATTGTAGAAAAGATTCTACTTTATCGTTCTCTGTATATCAATGATAATCATGATGTTGTTTACCAAATGTTATTATGGTCCATCCTACAGACACATTACTATGAGCATTTGGAAGTGCTTTACAAATTACGGGTCTCTATTTGAGCATTTCTTTATACCTACGGACTCCATACGACAAGTGCCACTCATTACATCAATAAAAATCGGAATAATTTTGTATATTTATGTTATAAACACATACAAAGTATGTGTATACTAATTTAATGTGTAAATTTTTAAACTTTTTGAATATTTCTAACTAGAGAATAGAGCTCTCCCCGTTCAACGTCCAATAACATGTGTTCTGCAAGCTATTCATTGATAACAAATCTAGTTTAATAGTTCTGCACGTTAAAATAAGCCACCGGAAAAAAGATATCTATAGGTGTTATCCCGGACACCCCCGCAAAAGCATTATGACACCTAAAGGTGTCACTTGTCACAAGAGTATTAAAAATTGTTGTTGTGATAACACCGTTTAGTATTATAAGACATTCGGATTTCTCCACTAGTAAGAAATAAAATACAAACCAAGAAAAGCACAGGAAAAGCCTGCTTATACCCCGCATACGCTACGAGTCATTTAAGATTCACCTTGATCAAAGTAGTTTCCTAAGAAAGAGACATGGAGTACATCCTTAACTAGCATCATGGTTGTGCCACTCTGTTCGTGAAAAAGGTAATTAATCGCCACGGGACTCAGATGAACATTAGTACCTCCTTAAGTTGTGGTACTCCCATTATCTCTGTCTCCTCACCAATGACGGTCTCTATGGCACCGCTGCCATACAACGAACAAATGTGTCTGAAAATCGGCTTTTTTCTAAGCCATAGAGAAGTGGCTTGTAAAAAAGAGAGTTGTAGAGAATTGGCCGACGTCTAGTAGAACATATATATTGGATAAGATATAGAAAACGTTAAGAAGTGCTACAAAAAAAGAACTATATGGCAAAGTAGACAGCTGGAAAGAAAGTGAAGCATATGCCATGCCGGCAGATGCACCCCACTACTTTCACCCAGGAAGGTGTCATATATGAATCATACCGGCGCAAATGTCATACTAGAACTTTTATACTACAGCGGACAAGTGACGCACGAAAAATTGTCAAAATCCACAACTGTATCTCAATGAAATCAGAAATCAGTAATAGGAATAGAGGATGAACCTCTCAGTGTTGATCAATTCCTGAGCAATGCGCCATGCATTGAACTTCATCAAGCATCGTTGGAGGTGACTGAATGCATACCTGGCCTTTACAATGATTCTAGGTAGCCTACTAATGCATCGAGCCAGCGCTGCTACTCTCCCGAACAAATCTAATACCTATTTACCGACCCAGCAGGGAAGGAAGACAGCCTGGGGCGCGGGGATCGACCCCATGTGTATTGCACGGCGCTTCCGACTACTGCACTAGACTCGCATCTAATAAGAGGAATAATGTAACAAAACTAGTAGCATAGATTACTTTGGGATTCACTTTAGGAATAATTCCTTCACACCCAACCCTGCTCTTCGTGCTCCATCATTCGAGGTGATCGATCCATAATAACATTACTATCGTACCGCTATAACAATCCACAATCAGAAATGACAGCTTCGACGAGCTAGCTATATTTCAGATTTAAAATTATAAACGCACACATTAGTTGGACTCTCTACAACCATAAATACCTCTCTTCGCATCAGAACGTACGACTGTAACGAATACTGGATGAAAAAACGACTGATGTCCTAGGAATAACCTATGTAACTGACGTCTTAAGAATAATCCATACATTAATTGGTCAAAGTGAAACTGAACACTGGGAAAAAAACAACACAGTGAATACTTTGTACTAGCTGTTCCTTCATAAACAACATGTAGAACAAAGACCTACTTCTTTACGCGGACTCCACCGTTTTTGTAGTGTTGGCAACTGATCGCCTTTGTACCGAAGACCGAAGACAATTACCAAAGCCTCAAGAAAGGACTCCGTATAATAAATCAACTGTTAAAAACAATCGAAATCAATCAAAGCTTCAGAAATATTAGGAAGTACTTGGATGAATTACAAAAACCGGAAAGTTGACATCCTTGAGAAACTAGGTGCATGATAGAGGTTTCCAAAGACCAGTATAGTCACTATGCATGTGTGACTTCAAACCTTAGACAAGAAAAAAAGAGGGAACAAAATGACATCACCAGATTCTATGCGCCATCAGATAACAATAGTTGTTTCCATTCCTATCATCAGCAAGCACTTGGCATCCAACAAAGCAACCTCAGATGGGATCACACTTTACAATATCGATTGGTGTTAAGCCATTTCACCGAGAAATCCATACAAGTATCCTATGAGATACGCAGTAATGAATGGTAACAATGACACTTCATTCCTGAACACATTTTGGAAACAAAAATAACCAAATTCTCCCATAGTTAATCGATACATATAATCAGAATACACACTCTGTTGAACGATAAATCATAATATGTCGGGCAGTTTCATACTCCGCTTCATAAATAGAACAACTCTCAAAAATGAAGAAAAAAGAAGAAAAAACAGAAAACTATAGTATTATGAATGCTTGTTCACCTGAAATGCTATGATTTCAACGTTTTAGAGAAAGATGACATCAACCTGAGATTTTCTGGGCAAACACGTGAATTACGAATAGATGACGACGGTATTAAACAAAACACCAATGCCATAACAAAACAGTTACGATTGCTTTTTACGAGGTTGCTCCAACAAAGAACCACCTGTCTTGGCCTTTGACTTCACTTCATGAACAATAGGAGTATTGGGAGGTGTTGCTGGAACCAACATATTCATGAAACTGTCCGCCACAGATGAGTACGAAGTATCCACGAAATCTACGGAGCGTCGTGGATGCTTTATTCTCCATGGTCCTTCAAAATTTTCGAGTAAATGTAGGAGTTAGGAGAAAATAGAACAAGTATGCGAAAAAATCTAAACTAACTCTCAATGACTACAACCATGCTTCTATTGCTAGTGGGCTCACAAGCTTTTCGCTTCTTACGTGACCTCATGCCATCTCTGCAAACTACAGATATTATGCTGTAAGCATAAAGGATAAGGTAAAGCTATCGATGTTTACCAATCACTTAGGGATGTATCATGAATTCGACATCATTAAGCATCGTTTGGGGGTGATCGAATTATCTGGCCTTTGCAATCACTCGCGGTGACCTACTCATGTATCGAGCCAGTACTGCTATCCTCCCAGGCAAGTCTTGCATCAATTTGCCGACCCCGGAGGGATGGAAGGCTCGGTGGGCCAGCAGCACGGGAACTGATCCTATGTGTATCACTGAGCGCCTCCGACCACTGCGCCACATACGCACAATTGTGCTATGAGTAGAAGGAAAAAAATTAAACCTTACGATTGTATGTCACTTGTCTTCCTCGGCTAAACAAAATCTCAATCGTAATTTTTGTGGAAAGAACACTATTACATACATCACTGGTCTCACAAATAGTCCAGTAGATAAAGTCGATTCCGAAACGACAACGGAGTTGTCTTCACTGCAGTTTCCCTCAGCAGATGATTCTCTACCAACCTCTTCTAAATTTAAGCAAATGTAAACAAAATGAAAGGTAACCAATCTAAGCTAGCCTCTATTATCGTTCACCCATATCCAATAAACTATACAAGGACGAATACCATTCATCAACACCCAAGGTGATAATAAACTAACTAACACAAAGAAAACGACTAATAGAAGACAGTACCCTCCATATTTTTGTATGTTTGTTGGAATAAATTCAAGAGATTAAAGAGCACTTTTTAAGTCAAGATTTAAATAATTCATATTATTAAAGAGTTCTATGTCCTATTCAGAAATTACCCATATCCACATCGTCAGAGATTGGCAAATCTGATCGCACGGGAATCCTGAAAAGCTTCCGTAATGGAACTGATAATGTTGCTAAACTAGGTTTTCATCCAAGAACTGCAACTGTAGTATTCCCAACACCAAAAAAGGGATATGCTACAATTGTCCCTGCAAAAGCACTTTAGGTATCGGTGGGAGAATTGTGAGCTACAGGGTGCATGAGATTTTTCTACGCACTTAGCCTATGAAACCTTAAAAAAACGAAAAAACTCCAGGACCTGTTATTAATATATTCCGAGAAAATGTTAGTAAACCTACGCGTCTTCACGTCCTGTTTCCTCATTTTGATTTGGAACTTCGGAGACTGATCCGGAATCATCACGTATAGGCTAAATAAGTTCTCATTAGCAAACCTTAATTTTGCCTTCACAGGTTAGCATTCTTTCTTAGAGCATTTCCTACTTCCGATTATATATTCCCTTACTAGGATTTATATCTTACAAAAGGGTTACTGATTCAAGATGGCCTACCATGGTACGATCACATAATCCTACATCCTGCAGTTGATATTGCAATTCGCTTTGTCCGACATCATCAGGCGAAGTACCGGTCGCCTTAACATTACCATCCTGTACTTTTGAGTTCAGAATGCTTGTAACATACAACACAGCTTTATGAGGGTTAGTTTCCCCATCATAACTGTATGTAGTACTAATTTTTCAAAGGCTGTGGGCACATCCGATGAGAAAGGACGAAAAAAGATTCATCAAGTAACAACTGGATAAGAGGAAAGGAGTCAAAATTCTCTCCCCTTTCCTTATACCAAGCATAATGTTAACATTTCAATCAAACGAAAGAACGGTTACTATCAAGAAAGATGTTGGAAAAAACTACCACGAGGCCACGATTCTCTTCAAAGGAGCAGCCTTCACCAGTAGACGTGTATTCGCGGCTTTCTCCTGGATTTTCGCCGTTGTAGGGCATTCCCTGAGTGAAGCACTCCTCGAGATGATTGGTTATCGAGTTTGACGCGTTTTCATCGAACTAAATTGTAGGACTATGTGTGTCGGCTCTGCGCCAAAGCGATGAATTGTGTAAACATACCCTATATTCCTCTTGGTCTTCATGGTGATATTCAACCTGGCTATCTCTAGGAAAGGATGATTTGAACCACCACTTCGGATTAAGGTAGTTAACAATCCTAAGTAAGAAAGACATTCGGAGCTCGTTCCACGGAAACCTTCCTAAACGAGTAGGTATTTCACCTTAGCTTCTTAAATCTCATAAACTTCGCCATTTCCTAACATTTAGGATAATAGCGAGATTCAAAGCTAAAATATGCCTAATTGAGCATAATACACACCCATGATAAATCACTAGAACCATTCTAGCACGTCAAGTCACAAAGCACAGAAAGTAATCATACCAATAACAAATTCCGGCAATGATAGCTAAAGATGTTCCCAGCGGGAGTTCATCATCACAAAAAGGTCACCCTCTAAAGGAGGTCGACACTTCCACCCAAATCAGCCATGAATCTATGCTGCGGTAGAGCATAGTGAACTCCATATGGAACTTATCAAAAACAATGGAAATGATGGACACCATACTATAATACGATGACTGTTGTGTTTAATGAACCCAGTGAAGCTAATGGAGCTAGTGGAGCTATGGAGGTAGTGGAGCTAGTGGAGCCAGTGGATCTAGTGGAGCTAGTGGAGCACTTCTTTGCCCGGTAACCGAGATTGAGGATTTCACTGATAATTACTTGAGTTACTCGACTAGCATATCCACGACAGTACGTATTCACTTCAGTGCACATGTGTTCAATCACAACGAACAACGAGAAGTCATTTGATTTCAGTGGACAACAGAGAAAAAATAAGTTGTTGCCACAAGCAGTTTACATCGAAAAATACACAAAATCCTACTCCACGGCGATTCCAGATCAACTCTGTACAGAAATGGGCAACTACTTCCACAACTATACCGAAGTTCATGCGTATTTGAGTACTATATAGAAAAAAAACATCGGTCATATAATGAATAGAACAATGTTATTCGCTTGGTAGTGGGGCCACATGGGCCACGTGAGAACCTGCGCATGAAATCGGTACTACATTCCACAAACTACTGCCTAGTATACATCGTAGTCATTCTACATCACTCAGATGTTTAGATGACTTTTGAGGGATAAATCTTAGCGATAAACTTCCACAAATAGGTTGTGGAAGTGTCTGGCTGCGTAGAATGTGCTCAACTTGTGACCTTTCTGGATCTGAGGATGGTGAAATCCGTCAAAACATTAGCTTCATCCTAATAAAGGTTAAAATAACGTTCCGTGTTTGCTCAACAGAAATATAAAGAATTACTTCAACAAGCAGGGCTTAAACTGAGTACCTAATTTTAATATTTTAACAACTTTATAGACTTTGTAGCATACGATTTCGTACAAAATGACCATTGAATCACTAAAGAATCCTTCTAAACAAGAACTAACCAACCCAAGAAAAGCTACGCCATATGTCAAAGTTCACGGGCATACTGTTTAACGAAAGCATAGGGTGAAAATGATTCACGTAGGGTGACATCAAAACCTAAACGATGATGAAATCGTCAGTCGAATACGGTACGAGGTTAAGGAGATTTGTACATTCGTGTTGATAGTTTACTAGTTCGTACGGTGTTTTCCTGTTAAATATTGTTTCATATCGTCTAACGTGTTCCCGACATGTCAAAGGGAATAAATCCAATGTAAAAGGATAAAGAAAGGATAAAGCTCTCGGCGTCGATCAGTCCGTGAAGGATGCGCCATGCATTCGACTTCACTAAGCATCGTTGGATGTGATTTAATGCATATCTGGCCTCTACAATGGCCCGTGGTAGCCTCCCGATGTGTCGACCCAGTGCTGCCATCTTCCAAGACAAGTTTGATACCAGATATCGAACCTGGGAGGATTGAAAGCTTAGTAAGCCATGGGCCCGGGGATCGATCTCATGTGTGTGCCTCAGGCCGCCCCCATTACGCCACAGATAAGATTAGTTCTTTTGAAACTCCAACTAAACGGCAATGAGTGGGAACATACGGTTCAATGCGATGCTGGCAGATTGCTGTTTTGAAGATTGCAAAACAGTGAGAGATTTGATAGGTCGATGACTAAGACTCCTTTTGTGAAGAAGATTTAGTGAATTACTGAAATGCGACAAGTGCAGCTATTTGTTCCCACTTGACCATAATTTCTTCCTTTGGAAAGGTTTCCTACGTTTACCTGTAGCTCCAAATCTGACTTGGTTTTCATTACTTGATCGCCACGAGGTGCGTGTTGCGAAGTGGTCGGAGGTGCCCTGCAACAGACATAGGATCGATCCTCGCACCCGTGGCTCACCAAGCCTTCCATCCTTCCGGGGTCGGCAAATTACTACCAGACTTGTTTGAGAGAATTGCAGCACTGGCTCGATACGTCGGTAGGCCACCGCGAGTCATTGTAAAGGCCAAATGTGCATTCAATCAGTTCCAACGATGCCTGATGAAGTCGAATGCATGGCACATCCCTCAGGGATTGACCAACGTCGAGAGCTTTAAAGCTTTCCATATTTGGTCCCCAGATGAACAACTAGAGAATTCTAAAAATTCAAATATTATATCTTGCAAAGCGACAAATATGAAACAACTACAAGAAACCAAAGTGGCACGAAGGTGATTTTTTGGGACCTCGCCTTTTACTTCTATTGAACTAATCTGATTACAAAACAACTTTCTGAGGACAGTTACAAGTATATGAAAGAATTTCTTTAGCTTAAGCTATAAAGAAGATACAGAACTACTTCCTTTTCCTTTAGTGGAAGTTCACCAGAATGGAATCTAATCACCAGCTGTCGACACCAAATACTCGATGGTTCCTAAAATTCATTCAAAAGATTCGACCTCGCCCAAGAACAACTGGCAGTACAACCCGTTCATTCTTCTTCTAGGGTATGGTATAGTATTACTTTCTCTGTACTGAAGAGTCCATTCTTGAAAACGTTAACTGGCAGCGACTGGAAGTGTGAACGCTAGGAATTCACTGTATAGTGAACTGTCAAATAGGCAAATAAAATAAATAAATAAAGTGGATTCAAGTGAATTTTTGTGGTGATGACAAAAAAACTAAAAAGCTTCGTCACAATAGATATACGGAACGGAAGAAAAAGTTCAGACAGTAAGTACGAGTTATTCTATGAGGCTATTCCCTCGAAATTTCTAGAATTACAAAGATTCGTCTCGCTGTTTAGTGTTCTTCGGTAAGATTGTAATTTTAATTCATTCTCGGTTGCGAGCGCACGTTCGATTTCAAATACAAATGTGTAAGAATCATTGGTATTCCTGTTAATTACTGGTAATCGTGTTTGTCCTCTTAATGGTTTACCGCCTTATAGCGGCTGGGAGGTGTTCCTGGGTGTCTGGCTACGATGTACAGCGACGTACCTTATGCTCCGGCAGGGTATCTCAAGCTGAGAAGCAGTCCGGTGTTTCAACCAGGAAGCCCAGCTAAGAGTAAACTAATACCAGAATCCACCACCATCCTGGTATCAAAATAATGGCATTATGTCAAATCTCTCTCCGATCCACAGGGCAGCGACTGCCTGTGGTGGTGATACGACCTGGGGCAGTCTTTGGCCAGGCTGACCTCGAGACTTCAGGGAAACACAGTGGCTATGCCAACAAATCTCCGAACAATGGAGATTGTGCTGTGGTCCGCACAACCAGTGAGGGAGCGCCCACCAAATATCCAAGTTATCGTGTTGATTTGTAGCGGCTCATGACAATTCCCTGAGAGGTTCGTAGGTTCTGTCGTTCAGTCGTGCTCCAACCGCAGTTTCACTCTGTTCGGTTTACATCGTTACTGCTAAATACTACTTCGAAGAAATTCGAATGTGGAATGTCTGGTTTTTGAGACGTACTGGTTATTTCTTTATAGTCGTTCATCACTTCACACTTTTTCATACTACTGTTTTTTCTTTACGAGTGTCGTCGAATGCTGATCGAGTCGATTCTTCGTAGACTGGTGGGACAGGCGAGTCAGAGCCTTTTCATTGGGGTAGAAGTGACTTATCTGTTATTAGATAGGTCTGGTACCAATTCTTCACCTCAAAGGGGTGAGAAAACTGGTGAACCCGGTGCGGCTTGAACCAGCACAGTGCTCGTGATGGATGGCATCATTACCACTGCGCTAGCCGACCCTCATTCATCATTTATAACCTCTACTTTTGCGAAATTATTGCGTTATCCTGCTGTGTTAGCAGTGGCGTAGATGTAATGGAGTTTTTTTTTTAATAAAGCTGACGTTCTTTCATTTTTGTAAGCTATGAGGTTGTATAAGCAGTTTTTGATACGAGTCATCGATCAAGATTCTCTCATACCTGAATATTACCGTGTTTTATCATTTACCTATAGCATCAAAATGTTGGTTCATATGGACTTGGCGATCTGAAAGTTGTTAAACCGAAGAGCTAAGTAAGCCCTTCCGCTATTTCCAAAATCAGTTGTCCGATGAAATTCTTCGAACGGGGGCCAGGAAATTTGTTTTAGACCTAAATTTTCTAATCTTTGACGCAAAAGCTATAAGGGCACACATAAAGCACTGATTGAGGGAAACCATCATCCTCGGTTAGACGGAACTCTGCCTGCTCATTCATTTGGCTAATCTGAACCTCCGCACTTGGAGCGGTCGAACTGTCTTTGCTGACGCTACTCTTCAAATTCCTTTAAAGCTCAAACTGTTTACTATGGTCGCTGTAGAGGATACCAAGAACGAAGGCTTACGTACGTTGGACAATGGAACATGGTTTTGAGGACTTAAACGCAGCGTTAAAGTCTCTTAATATCCAATGGTAGAACATTGAAACTGGATTCGACTGCAACACGCTGCGCACCTCTGCTAGTAGCAATCGCATATATAGTTGCTTGACTAACGCAGCGTGCCAGTCCTACGTGGATACTCCTTCATAATCTTCGGCAATGCCATCGGGCATGCCATCAGAAACAGCAACATCGCTTGATGGCTCGACCAGAATTCGCTTAGATGTCAGTCATGCCTAATAGCAGTGCCATTTGCCTTCAGACGACATGGGAGAATTGCCGTGGCCCTTCCTCATCACCTAGTTCTCTCGTTGGATCTTTTCACTCAGCCTTCCTGGATAGGCTTAGGCTGGAGTCATGTTTATTAAAGTGTCACTCTCTTGCATTTCCGGTATATTAAAGTGATCGTCGGTCCTCATGTAATCACTAGATGTTGTTAATCCTGTAACTGTTTCAAATACTTACGCTGGGTTTAGGTGCTGTACGAAGGTCACCATCGCCACATCAATTCGTTTGCACAAAATTCCTCTGTGCGCAAGTACATCGATATATTTTGATGTACTTGTGTGAAGTGTGTATTCTCCTGTTTAACACTTTGTCACTCCACAGCATCTTCTTCCTGGTTGCTAATGCAACCTCTTTATCGCTATCACAGTCTTGCACAGTGGTCACGTAAGTACTAAGGCTGTTGTGGTTGTACTACTATTGCTACGTAAGCAGGATTTCTATTTACACATTCACACCTTCACTGTATTGTTATTACAAGCTGAAGTGGTTATAACCTCACATGCGCCTTCTAGTATCTTAAGCCTATCGTACTGGCCTTCTAATGTGTTAACATCTGTCCCTATACCGTTACTGTTGTTCTATATCATCTCTTGTCTCAAGGCTCACAGCTCGCTCAACATTTTGACTTCGCTTATTCACGCCTGTTATAGCCTATATTGCTTTTCTTACTATTTTATTCTACATGACCCGTCGATTTGGGCTCACCAGATCAATCCCGTAGGCTGGTGATTCTTGATGGTAACGGTAGATAGAAAATTGGCCGAGAGACACGAAACGAACGACCCACATGGTGTGGTGGTGAACGCGTCAGCCTCTAAAAGGGTAACAGGGCGTTCGTTTCCCTCCGCAGACACCTGCTGTTCGGAGTTTTACAAATATCTCATCATCTTGTAACAGTTCCCAGGATCGACTTTCTATTAACCTCGGCAATGGATTATAAATGTGTCGTTTTCTGTCTCAGCAATCACGAGGTTGTTAAACAGCACACATTTACTTCTATAGAAAAACACAATACAACACAATCGTAGCTGACGTTTCGGCAGAATCGCCTTCTTCAGAGCCTGGAAGGGTATACTGTTATACAATCTACTAAGCCAAACGCTTCAATAACACTTACAAGAAGACGAAAAGCTCTATGGTAATTACATGATCAACAGCTTCTTGAAAAACTCACCGCTTCCAATGTGACTTCCAATGTGGAAGATTAGAACAGCCGATTATAGTCGCATATGGTTGATGACTGCACCATCCCACATCAGAAATTGATGAGAACATAGGGGGTCAGGTCGCGCGTGACCTCTGGGCATTCATACCTGCTCCTCATTGTAGGGTTTTTGGCATTTATCCAAAAAGCCTCAAGAAGTTTTCGCGCTGCTGTTTTAGTCTCCTGTGCAAGGACAGTGACTTTTAAATCAAAGTCGTCTCCGCTATGCTTTTGTATCCTATGCGTCCCTAGTGGCGTGCCTTGTTTTGATTCTCGTTTGTCATCTAGATGTTCTTTTATGCTGTTACGTGAAGGTCAGCCCGTTTCGTCAATATATTCGTCTCCGCAAGGACTCCAAGAGATCAGGTATATCGTACCTGAATTCATGTAGTCACCGTCCCTGCCGTAGGGGCAAATTACGCAATTCTGTGTTCCACATAGACAGTCGTATAGGCGGTTATCAACTAATTGACGACGAAGAGTATCGGGTTGTATTTCTACTATCGCAACCGATTCCTCTAGACCTGCCCTTCTTACGCATCGTTTTATAGCAATACTTACTTCATCGCTAATAAAGGACAGCATAAATGGGATTTTCTTTTGGCCAAGTGTTTCGCGTGGGCGCGTCGCTCTCCTTCTAAACTTATCTCGTGGGGTTACTATTTCGTAGCGATTGGAGATGGCTATTTGCCGAGCCAAGTCGCGCGACTCTTCCTTTAGTTCCCTGGTAGTGCACAGAGAGGTGGCTGTTCGAAACGTGTTTCTCACAATCGCCCTCTTTGTGTGTGAAGAGTGGAAAGAAAGGAAATGAACGAGGATGTTCTTGTTACTTGGCTTTCGGTACCACTTTGTCAGGTAACCGCTACTTGATAAGTTTACTTGAACGTTCAAAAACGGAAACCAGTTTTTTCTCGGTTTCTCCGGGTGAACTTTATGTTCTCAGACTGCTCGTTCAATAATTCAAATCATTTGTCCATCACCTCCTGCGCAGAGATGACAAAACATTCATCTACATATCTGCAGTAGAGTAGTGGCCGGAGATCGAGAACAGGGGCTTCTATCTTAGACATAAACACAATGGCCAGGCTTGGTGCCAATCGCTGTCCCATTGCCAACCCCCTTATTTGCGCGAAATATTTCCCAGACCATCTGAAAATCGAGTAGTTTAGGCACTCCTTTAAGAGAGCCATTAGCTGCTATGGAGAAGCCATGCATATTTATTCGTCCTTCATGTTCAACAAGAAGTTCGAAGGTTGCTTGCATTGCGGAGTCATTCGACACGTTAGTGTACAGCGCGGTAACGTCGAAAGACTCCATTACGTACGCGTTATTAGGAGACGCGTTACGTAGACGTTCTAGGAACATTTGGCTGCTCGTGAGATGAGCTGGGGTGTGGTTAAGTAGCTGGGTGAGTATTAGGCTTAGAAACCATGTTATTCTAACCGTTGGCCCGTCTACGCAACTGATGACGGGTCTAACCTTGAAGGATGTTGGGTTGGTTGACTCAAGATCATCAGCTGATACTAACTTATGTGCTCTCATAAGTAAGTATAAGGCGGGACACGTTAGCCTATCTATTTTATAATGCGAGATAACAAATGGTTTCAAGCTTGCCGTCTTTGCCACTTTGAGCTGTTAAACTTTCGGTATTATCTTCTGTATTCCTTTTGAGATAATGGGCGATAAAGGGTGATATTACTAAGATGTTCCTCCGTTATCTTAACATCTAACGGGCGCGGAATAACTACAAACTCTCCTCCTTACTGGTAGTCTAATGGTCTTGAACTTATTAGATCTCTAATTTCTCACAAACGGCATCTTTGTGCCGCTGCATGATTAGAGACAAACCTACCGCGATAGTGATTTAAGGTTTTAAGATCATCGTCGGAAAACATGCGACATTTCGTATCGAGTTCCATGTTAGGGTTTTGCTGTATAAAGAACGCTCTAGGAAGCCTATCTAAGAGTAAACCAATACTAGGATCTATCACCGTCTTGGTATCAAAGTCGCATAGTCGTAAATCTCCCTCTGATCCACTAGGGTTTCAGCTGCCTGTCGTGGTGACGACCTGGGGCAGACTTTGGCCAGGCTGTCCTCGGGATTCCAGGAAACCACAATGGCTTAGCCAAAAAATCTCCGAAGAAAAGTGATTATGCTAGGGCCCGCAAAACTAGTGATAACGGGCCGTTCAAGTATCAAGTAAGTAAAGAACGCTCTAGGAAAAGAAGATGGTTATGATCTCGCTCCTTCTTGACTTCGTTTTTATTCGATAAATCTTTTTTGGCCTGATAGCGGAGTAGGTTATTAATGGTAATAATTGAGTCTCAGTGCTAAAAATGCCTGCTGGGAATCGCTTACCTTCAGATTATCTAAATTCTGCTCTGCTGCGATGAAGACACTATAATTGCATCTAGTTGGCAAAAGGGCATGTATTTCAGACTGCCGTTCAAGGTCAGTCACCATTTTTTCAGCACATTAGGAAGCAGAAAAAGTTGAGCTAATGAACACATATATACGGTTCGAACGAAATATCTTGCCGCTAAAACATACTACTATACCTATCAACGGGATTGATCTCGGGAGCTCAAGTTGGCATTGAACCCTGCTTTCACATGTACCTAGCGGCAATCTGAAGCTATAGTGTAAGTCACAATGTAATTACTTTCTTACCTACTGCCCATTCTTTTGCCATGGCAGGGTATACTGTGAGAAATAACTACAGTGATGCTGAGCTATTTGCAAAACTCCGGACCTCAGTGTCTGCTATGGGGATCGAGCCCGTCATTACCCTTTCCAGGGGCTAATGTTTACTTATATTACTGTACCACTGAAAAGTGCTACTGCACTCTGTTGTCAATGGCTTAAATTCACAGGATATTATCGCCATTCCTTGTTAAGTGGTTGTTTCGATTAATCACGTGTTTCCTGGAGAAATTCAATGTTTTTAACTAATGAAAGACATATGTCGAACCTCTAACGAGAGATTCCACTCTGTCGAAATTTTTTATAGCTCCTCTGTCGAACGCCCTGTGACTTCACCTGTATCACCTGTAGAACCGTTGATCGTCGAGTGACTCGAGCGGGCGCCAGTAAATCTTCCATTTTTCCCTGTCGCGTGCAGGAGTAGCCCAATGGGTTCTGCTCGCTCTAGGGACTCATCGAGCATCATATCTTTCTTCTATGCTTTCGTGAAGAACTCTGACTATCGAGTCGGTGGTCCTCCTGCAGCTCGTCTGACATCCCAAGGAATCCGGTCACTAACGGCTCTTTTCCATCGGTTGTTATTCATACGCATTACGTGTCTGGTCCACCTTATCTTCGACTGTTTGGCGTAAAGAACGGCATCTTTGGTTTTTGATCGTTGACGCACATCGTAGCTTCGGATCCCTTCCATTACTTGTGTGAAACGGGATACTCCTAGAATCGTCCTTTCGACTGCGCGTTTGATAACGCTGAGTGACCCTCCCTTCTGCTTACGCAGCGACCAGGTTTCTGACGTATACGTTAGGGCAGGAAGCACCGTTGAGTCGAAAAGGTAGGCATGGAGTCGGGTGTTCTTTGTTTTCTTTACTACATCCTCGATGCTCTTGAAAGCTCCCCAAGCCGCTCGTTTTCTTCTGCTCAGCTCTGGAGCTAGGGCTTTCATCATATTGATTTCCCTGCCTAGATAGATATAACTGGAGCATTCGGAGATATTCGTTCCGTTGAGCGTGAATGGGGCATACGAAGCCAATCCGTTCTTCATTAACATCGTTGCTGTGAGATTTAGTCGAAGACCAATCTTTCCACAGGTTTTATCAAAGTCGACGAGCATACGTTTCGCTTGGCTGTTTGGTGTTATAAGGACGACATCTTCAGCAAAGCGAAGATGGTGTAACTGCCGACCATCGATTTTCACTCCTGTATTATCCCATTCCAATGTTCGAATGACGTTCTGGAGGATGGCGGTAAATAATTTTAGCGAGATAGCATCGCCTTGCCTAACCCCTCTTTTGACGTCAATGTTAATATCGTTGTACAATTGTGATATCTTGGTTGTGAAGTTTTTGTACAATTCGCGAAGAATCTTTATGGACTGAGTAGGGACTCCTTAACTATCTAGGGCTTCCATGACTGCTTCTATCTCAATTAACTAAAAGGCCTGTAAATCGATGAAAGTGAGACAGAGCGGTCTTTTGTACACCTGCGATACTTCAGTGAGCCTTCTTATAGTGAGGATGTGGTCCATCGGACTAAATCCCTTTCGAAAACCTGCTTGCTCACATGGCTGTCCTTCGTCCAATGTTCTACCAATCCTCTTTAAGATACATCAAGTGAAAATTCTACCAATCCTCGTTAGGGTACATCAAGTGAAAAGTTTGTAGATGGCAGACAGCAAGCAAGTTAGGCGATAGATGCCAATATCGTGTAGGCCACCCTTCTTGAAGAATAACACGGCCATGCTGGTCTTCCACTGAGGAAGGACCTTGCATTCAGACAGGTAACGTGTAAAGAGTCGAGCCAGTGTGTTTACAAGGACTGGCGGAAGCTTCTTCAGGTGTTCTGGTCTTATCCTGACCGGACCTGGTGCTGTTCGATTTTTCACCTACGAAATAGCATGTCGGATTTCGGAAGGGAGAACCGGTGGTGCAACATATCTAACCTCGTTTACTTCATATGACGGAAGGTGGCCGTGGCTATCGAAGAGATCTGAGTGATCTGAGTAGTATTCGTGAATAATTATATCCATTTCCCTTTTGGGCTCTGTTACTGTTCCATCAGGGCCTCGGAGTGCAATCATTTTGGTCTTGTAATTGGCGAAGCTTCGATGGGCTTTGCGAATGCTTTTTCCAGCCTCTGCAGCCTCGACCGTTACTGCTGCTCTTCTCTCTCTAAGATCTTCTTTGATTGCCTGTCTGCATTGTTTTGCAAGTTCAGACGTTAGTTCGCTGTTGCCTGCAGCTCGTGCGCTTCCACACTACCGTATCAGCTCGAGTGTTTCTGGAGACAGACGTCTTTTAGTGACTTTCTGACTCTCAGCTTTCATAGCGGTAACGTGAGGATGTTGAATGAGCTGATCGTATTCTTCATCGATGTTGTCGACAACTGTATCTTCTCGACAGCCGTCTAATGAATTGAATAAGCCCCAGTTTACGGTGGTTCTGGGACTTAGGTTTTTGAATTTAGAGGCTTTTCCTCCTATCGGTGAGAAATAGAATTTTGCACGGGGGAGACAGTGGTCTGATCCCGTATAGAATTTTGGGACGACATCGACATCAATTACGCAAAGCCTTCTATTTACTTTGATATCGTCTATTTCGTTGTGTTACTCTCCATTGGGAGACTCCCTCGTCCAGCGCTGAGAGTGGGGCTTCTGGAATCGCGATTTACCGTGGATAGCTTTCGTCGCCACCACAAACGCAGATAGCCGCTCACCTTGTTCGTTCCATTCTAATCCATGGGCCCCAATGCGACGTTCTTGAGACGTTCTTCTTGGTCCAATCTTGGCGTTGAAATCTGCAATGATGGCTTTGAAGAATGTGTGGTCTTCTCTGTAGAACTACTCCAAGTCCAAGTAGAGCGCTTCGACTTCTTCTTCGTCTTGATTGGAGTCGGCGCGTAAACGACGAAGATTGTCAAAGCCGGTATTGATCCACATCTTTTTAATCGTAAACGTTTGATTCGGATTGTAAGCTATTCGAATGAATTGATGTTCATGGACAAACTCGTGTTGACGAGAACGCCCACACCGCCGACTCCCATACTTTCACACGTTCCCAGGAACAGCTGTTCTCCGGTGGCATAGACAACGTTGAATGGGTGGTGTCGTCTCGCGTCGGCCAGGCCGATGACGTCGTACCTAATCCTTCTTGCTTGCATGAGCAAGTCTTCTATCGAGGACATGGATGCAAGTGTACATGCACTGCAGGTACACATCGTCATCATAGTTCTTTGTATTCCAGGTAGCTTCCATTAGCCCTGAGATTTTAGCAGCCTCTCCGTCTCGTCATACCCAACGCTGCAAAATTGGGGGCTCTTTCGAGGTCAGTGGAATGAGGCTCGTTTTTTTTAACTTTGTTTAGCATTTTGATACCCACGTATACCACTTTGATAGCTTGCTGAGCTCTGAACGTGGGGATGAGTATACTCACAGGTGGCTTGCCAGGCTCCTCCAGTGTCCTGTGACTTACCGAAAGAAATCTCATTAGCGTGAATGTCTGCGGCTCTCGGCTATACCACATTCGCATTTTGCATTATTGATGTTATTTTTCCAGTTGACGAATGCATTGACGAATCATTGCCGATGTCGACTGCGCTTGTAAAAAACAGATTCTAGTTTAATATTGGAAAAGAAGAGCATGAGAAGCGAAATCTTTTTTGATGTTATAGCGAAAATGTGAGGAGAGTGTAACGCAGTTGTAGTGTTCCCGTTCATTATTCGGGCCGCTCAACCGACCAGGCGCTTGGTTGGTTCAACTCCACCTTGGCCAACTTATCCTCTCATGCTTTCCATGTCGGCAAATTAGTAAAAGACCTGTCCGAAACATGCAAGCTCCCTCTAATCTACATGTTAATGCCCTCGAACTGCTATCTCGGGGCTTTAAAGACAACTGGCTCGACCAGTACTCAACTAAATTGGTGACGAAAACGACAAAATCGTCAAACAGCAGCCACAAAGAAGTTTGAAGACATTACTGGATGGTGGATGAGAGCGAACTGGTCGAATGCAAAGTGCTGGGATCCATTCAGTCCAAACGTGAAGACGGACAGTGTAAAATGAAAAAAGTCAAGCAAGGTGTTCCTTCTCTTTTACCAAACTCTATAGCTGAGTTTTTTATCGTAATGATTTTTCGGCAATTCATTCTTAGAGCTTTCTTTGATGCTCACCTGGCTGAGTGTAAATGTGAAGAACCCATTAGTTGCTCGTAACCGTCGCTTAAATTTAATTTTAGGCCGACCTTCTACATTCTTCATCTAGATGGGCAAAAATTAGGTTTGCAGAACGAATGTCTGATGACTTGAGGATGACGCGCGAAGCAAGAGAAGTGTCTCTTTTAGAAATTTTTCCTTGTAGAGCAAGCCGTCCATTTACATCAGCTTCAGTTCTCCCTTACAGTCTCACAGGCAGTGTGTGATCAGTTACTGATCGTCCGTTAGTTTCTGCCCATGTTCGAATCTAATCCTGGTATGACTGCATGGTCTAATATTCGTCACTACTCAGACAACGTTGCATATTTCGGAAAGATGAGCAGCTACGGTGACGTCTTTTATAAGTGATCAAAGAAACAACCAGTTCTACCACCTTTCCTCCTATGATCAGCTTTCACTATTCTTCATGCATATACTGCAGAATGAGGTTCAAAGATTCCTGTGAGATTCCTGTGACTTCTAAGCTCACGGCTCATATATTTGGCGAAAATGGCATACTAACCCGTAATATTTCTTGTTGATCATATTGGCTGATCAGAAGCCATGAGAAGATTCATGACATCAGGATTGATAATGAATTTGGTTCATTTTCTTTAGTTTAAGGTTTGGGTAGATATTTGCAAAAGATAAACTGCCATATTGAAGAGCCGAAACATGGAAATAAAAGGCATCAGTCATCTGCCTAATGACGACCGAAGTATGTGAGCTTTCCCACCAATCATATACCATCACGTCGTTTTAATTCGGGATCTAACAATGAACGTTGGTCTAAAAACAACTTGTTACAGAGGAAATTTAGACGTGGTGGGAAATCTATTAGTAAAAAAAGTCACCAACAATTTTGTGCGACTACATAAATACCCACATAAAGAATGGTAATTAGTCATTTCGTTAGAAGCACAAAAATCTGTTATACGTTTGAGTCTCACCTTTTCAGTTCACTTTCACTTCATGAATTTTTTACTTCTTCATTTTCATTGCCATTTCACTCATCCTTTAGCGAATCTCTCGACGACCTTCTTTTAACGTCAGCATTCATCAATAATGCACTGTTTTTGATGAGCAAGCGCGACTACAGCATTATCCATTCACAATGGCTGACGATTCGGTGGTTTCGTCTGCTTCAGAGCCTGGGAATGTCAAACTGTCACGCAATCTTTTCAGCCAAACACTTTCCATAGCCTCAGCAGAAGGCAGATAGCGCTTTCAGATAGCACTCAATGCATACATTTCCGCTCGGATAATAAACAGCTTATTTTGCACGTACGCTTTATTGTCTGTAAGTCTCCAAGTTATTTGATGAGGACTAGCCACACGCAATATTACATTCGAAGGAAATGCCTGGTTTAGGTAAAAAAAAAAACTGCTTGAAGTATAGCGTAAACTCAAACGTGATCGCAGTGCATACCTGCATACCTCTTTGTGGCTCATTTTTATATTTCTGATTTTACCTAAAACGCTTCAAGCGTTCTACCCGCTGATGTTTTAGGTGGAGAGTCCTGTTTGACTTTAATGCATCCGAACTAAGTGCGTTTTTACAAGACGCAGAATAGCCCACCCGTTTCGGTAACGCATTCGTCCTTTCACGTTTTGCAAGAGATTAATTACATTGTAGCTGAAGTCGTGCAGTCATCGCCTCTTCTGTTAAGGCGTATTATACAATTGAGCGTTTCGCATAAGCGGTCATACAGACGGTTACCAACTACATGGCATCTTAATGTGTTCAGTGAGATTTCAATCTCTGCTACCGATTCCTCTAAGCCGTCCCTTTCTAAGCAACGTTTTATGGCTGTACTTACTTCGTTGGAAAAGATGGGTAGGATAAACGGGATCGTATTTCCACTAAACATCGTTTTGGAGGTAGTTTTTCGTCTAGATTTAGAAAACTTTTCCGAGAAACTACTT